ACCCTCCTTCAGTGCCTGACATGTTTGTGCCATCAGAGTATGGGGTTATGTACATGTACCTATCTACAGCCATGCTTGTTCATTGTTCATTGGAATACAATTGCCAGTAATTTCCCATGAGGCTTTTGCTGGAGGATTTCCCTAACACTAGGTTCTCTTCCATGTCTGACTCCCAGACTGAAATGTTACATTCCATCCACGTAATGTACCTGCAGGTGTTCCAGTAAACACATCAGTCAAAAGGCTTATAGTCACAATAGGAGGGAATCATGTGAATGAAAACATGGCTTTATCCACATCATCCTGACAGTTCCATGCAGAAGGGCAGAGGGGACTGCTGCCATGAGATCCATGCTATCCCTGCATGATAATGTGCCCACTCCAATTATTTGATGGAACTGCTGTCTGTTCGCTGAGCTGTAAATCTATCGCCCGTGCTCAGCTGCAGTGTGACAATTCAGGTCACACAGTGTCTCAGGAGGGCAGTGTTTCATTAGTGCGAGTCTTTACATTCATTTCACCTTGTACAGTATTATAGGCACTGTTATGTTGTCTCTACCCAGCCATTTTTAATGCTTTACCACATACTTCTAAGACCCAATATTTAAATGTGATGAACACAATAAATCCTGATCTATCTTACTCAAGGTTATAAAGAACAAGTCAGTTACTCTACTTTTTCATTATGGTAATAGAAGAGGAACTATAGAAGGCTGGTGTTTGAAAGGAAAATTATGATTTCAAATAAGGTGCAAAGAGGTGGTCATGTAAACTCACATTGTAAAATAAAATTAACTTAACAGTAATAAAGCACAATACAGGGCTGGGGGTAGTAACATTTCAGTTGCTTCCTTATAACACTGAATGTGGCTAAATTGTCCATCAATCCCATACACATCAATCCCATACTCAATATCAACTAAAATCAATATATCCTATGGAAACCCTGTGTGTGAATATGCTATTGCTCATATATGCAGTGTTTTGTGTGAGATGGACAATACAAAAAAAAAAACCACTAATTCTTGTCCATTTGATTCTCTTCCTCTGTCACTGGTGCTGATGAGGTGTTGTTGTGCTTCTCTCTTGGTAAGAAATAATCTTTTTCTATGATAGCAAGCCTGACTAATAATGAAGTTTTTCTGTTTTGCAGATCCTTCAAGTAGTGTTGATGTGGAGGCCATGTCTGATTCCAGTAGCTTTCTTGCATCTGGAGACACACAGAGTGAGACAGCAACCCACAGTGACGCAATGTCTTCTGTCAGCAGTGTTCCAGAGTCCCAGGACAGTAGCCATGGCAATGGCTCAGAAGCTGAGGGTTTTTCAGAGACTGGATGGGTGCCATTTGTTGATGATACCAAGGAGACAATAAAGAGACAGGCACCGACATCAGCTACAGACAAGACAACAGCAAGGTCAGACAGCACCTCAAGTCAGCCATCTGGCTGGATTGGCTTTGAGGAGGGAGACACAGCTTTTCTAGAAGCCTTGGAAGCAGACTGTAAGAAAGATGAGCCATCAAAGCAGTCCAGTAAGAAACCCATTTTGACAGAACCCCTAATTCCACCACCACAAGGGTCCGAGTTTGACTTTCTCATGAAAAAAGGAGAAAAGGCAAAGAGTCCTGATACCCTGGACTTCCTCATGATGCAGTCAGGCCTTACACCTACCCAGCCATCACCAACAAATCCCTTCCTTGCAGATATTGCTGCACAGCAACAGGAAATGTCTCCAACAAACCCATTTGGGACACAAGAAGGAGCTAAAAAAGATGCTTTTGATCCATTTGGCACACAGCAGCAATCTAAGGCTGTAGATCCATTTGAGGCTGAATTGGAAAGAGATTCTCTTGAAGCAGAGCCTGTGGCAATGCCAGATGACCCTTTTGCCCCAAAGAATGGAGACACAGCAGTAACAGAGTCTTCCAAATCAAAGGATGGTGTTAACGATTTATTTGCTTTGTGTTCATCCAAACCTGCGCAAGCTCTCAACTTGTTTGGCTCTTCATCCCTGGATGCTGCAGAGCCTGCAAAAGACCCATTTTTGTCTCCAAAACCCACAGAACCCGAGGTAGACTTGTTCAATATCCAGTCTCCCACAGCACCAGGAGTTGCACCCCCAACCTTCCTTCCCATAGGCATCATGCAGTCAGAGGCAGTTGAGCCAGAGAAAGAGTCTCCTCACTTCTCCCCACCCCCTGACTCCCTACCCACCCCCATTGCGCCAGCTCCTGCCTCAATTCCCTCACCAACTGAAGCTGTTATAGCACCAGTGGCTTCTACACCACCACAATCCAGTTCACAAACATCACCCCCTCAACCACAGCCACCAGTAATAACCAAGCCATCTACTCCAAAAGAAAAAGCTCCTCCGACTAAACCCTCCCAACCAACCAAACCCCCTGCCCAGCCTAGCCCAGCCTTTGATGCAATAGAAGCAGCAAAGCTGTTGGGGCTTCCTGGTGTTCCTGTAACATCTGCTGTCAAAAAACGAGTACCACTGAACCAGCTTGCTCAGGCAAAGGTTGTCACCAAAAGCCCAGTCCAAGAAACTGCAAAGAGCCCAGTAGAGGAAGCAACTGGGACAACACCTCCAGAGATTAAGTCTACCCATGTTGAAGAGCCAGATCCATTTGCTGCTCAGCCAGCTGACATGTTTGAGGATGCTTTTGTTCCAGATGAGTTGAAAGGAGTACAGAAAACTGCCCCAACAAAAAGTGCATCTGCTAATTTTGAAGATGCATTTGTTCCAGGCGATCTTATGGACACTGATGAAGCGGGTCCAACAAAAAGTTTCTCTGCTAATTTTGAGGATGCCTTTGTTGTACAGGAGTGGCCAGAGCCTGAGCAACCAGCAAGCCAGAAGAGTCCAACCACTCACTTTGAGGATTCTTTTGTACCAATGACAGAAGAAAGACCAGCACCAGAAACGGTAAAGAAGACCACTTCAGCGACAGATTTTGATCTGTTCAGTGACACAGAGACAGCAGCTGAACCCTTGTCAATGCCAGCTGATCCATTTGCATCAACAGGAGGTGAGGTCAAAACACCAGAGTTGTTTACTAGTGCAGCTAAAGCTGCAACGCCACCAGCAGCCATGACCATTGACTTCTTTGGCTCTGTTGCAGAGGATCTGCCTCCACCAGACTTGTTGGGAGGATCACCTGAGGCTGAACTGAAACCAGCCATGATACCAACTAATGCTTTTGTACCTAAGCCTGCCGAAGCCACAAAGCAAGAGATCATGGAAGGACAAGCTGCAGCTCAGCCTGAGACCATGGCCATTGACCTACTTTCCTCACCATCACAGCCAGAGGCACCCGCAAGCAATGCTGCCGCACCTGCCATGCAGTCAGCTGGAGAAGGCGATGACTTCTTTGCACCTTCGCCACCGGCTGCAGCAGCAGCTGATGACATGTTTGCATCCCCTGGAGAACCTGCAGCAATGCCCGATGATCCATTTGCTTCAAAGCCCGGTGACGAGGCTACCACCCCAGATCTGTTTGCTGGAGCAGCAGGTGCTGCAGCAATGTCTCCAAGCATTCCATCTCCCCCTACTGCCATCTCACCGTCCAGACAAAGTCTGAAGTTAGAGGAACTAGATCCATTTGCCCCACAGAAAAGTGCCTCAAAAACAGGCAGCCCTGTCAGTAGTCCCCCAAAGAAGACAGAAGTAGTTGCACCTCTCGCTTCTCCAGAGGAAGAGCTCAACTTGTCCCCAGTGGAGCACATCTCGGTGGCCGACATCAAACCTACAGCACAAAGTCCAGTGGAAGATGCTGGCTTAGCCATGGGACCTCCCTTGACTACCATCGATCCCTTTTCCCCAAAGGCAGCTGTTGGCTCCCCAGCCACCCCTCCAAGACAAACCAAAGTGAAATACAATCCTTTCAAAGCAGAAACTCCAACCACCCCACCTGATGAGGAGGCCTCCCCTTTCCCAACTGTTAAACTTCCAATCAGTGTTGTACAGCCCTTTCCTGCCAGTCCAGACAGCTCACCATTGGATGAAAGCTTTCCTCCAAAATGTGAGGAGGACGGCTGGTACCTCATGCTGCGTGTTCCAGAGAAGAAAAAGTTCATCGGCCAGAAGAGATACTGGACTCCAACGTACACAAGACTTGTGGATGGTAACATGTTGAAGTTATACTATGAGAAAAATAACACTGAACCATTCAAAGAAGTACAGCTGCACTCCACTTTCAGTGTAAGCGAGCCCACTCTACAAGCATACAATGAGAAGGGCCGGATACATACAGTCAAGATAGAATATGTCTCTTACAAAGAGAAGCGTCTTCTCCGTCCAAGGGCCATCATCGATCACATTCCTCTAGCCTCTACTTTGGTAAAGTTTGGAACTCTTGAGTATGATGACCTCTTAAATTTTGTAAGGGCTGTAAATGATGCTCTCATGAAGCTTCCAGCGTACCGAGATAGGGGAACAACATACATCGAGGATGAGATCACGGTTGAAGTGACAGATGAGTTTCGCGGCATTGTGGCACGCTCAGGTGAGATCGAGAAACAAGCTGTGGAGGTCAACATCCAAACACTGGTGTTCATCACAGGCATGCCAGAGTGCGTCTTGGGAATGAACGACAAGCAGATTCGAGGAAATGAAGTTGTCCGGCGCCAGGACATCATTCCCAACAAAAGTGATGAATGGATCAAGCTCATCAATCCAGAATTCCACAGCTGTGTCAATAAGGAACATTTTATCAGCACAAGGCAAATCAAGTTTTGTCCTCTTGACGGGAACAAGTTTCAACTCATGCGATACAAAGTCAAGAGCAACAAGAAGGAATTACCACTTGTTGTCAAAGCAAGGTACATCAACAAGGGACCTCACTTTGAGCTCAGATGTGACGCAACATGCACAGGGTATGTCAACAAGAAGGATCCAGAAGCTGTCCCCTGTGAAAATATCATGATCCGTCTGCCTGTTCCTGACCTGTGGATGAAGTACCTGCGGAATGAGACTCCAGTGGGGCCCCTCGGCACCAAGTCGCTGCGTTCTAGCAAGAAGAAGCTGCCCAAGGGCTCCGCCACCTTTGAGCAGTACACGTCTCCCAGGATTGAAGTGTCTGTTGGAACGGCCAAGTACGAATACGCTTTCAGGTCTATAGTATGGAAGATAAGCCGGCTGCCTGAAAGAAATCAAGGTGATTCATTTCTCTGGATTTTGTAATATGCAGTTGATAGGGCTACCACAGAACATATTTGATCACTGGTTTATTTACATTTGGAAAGACACCAAAAGTATTTTGTACACAGTAAGTTGAAAATGGGCATTTGACAGCTACAAAATATTTTTTATTTGCTCATCATCCACTACTTGTCCAATCCATCATTTAAATTAAAATTCTTGTGGCACAGTTTGTTATGTACTAGGTAGTTATACTGTGAATACAGAAGGATAGATCAAGCATATGAATGACTTTAATGTACGTATACATAATGCATACTTTAAAATACATCAAATTTCCTGCTTACCTAGGTCTTGAGGATAGAGATAAGGTCATTATAATGTGTACTAGGTACTAGTATTTGACTCTTGTCATTCTAACTGACCCTAACTGTCATTTTCCCTTGCAGTTGTTCCATTCACTGGCAATGTCCCATTCACTGGCAAACCCCTTCCTTTCACTGCTAGCAAAGAGAAAACAGGTAAAGTGACAAATACATGAAGTGGTCACACTTGCTATCACTGTGAATGTCGATAGCTGTATTTTTCTTTATACCCTATCATTACATAGATGCCACATCCTTCCTGTATGTCTTGTCTCCCTCATAGCCCATGCCTGGCATGCCTAACTGTACACTGTTGCACCTGCATGTCAGTTGTTTTTCCTTTCCCAGTCCTCTTATTTTCCAGACTCTGCTGGTTAAATGTTCAAAAGCTGGTCTAGCACAAAGTACATCTGTATACCCTACCCAAATCATTATACCATCACAATACCATGGTCTTCCAGTAAACAACACAAGCCCTGCCATGAGACTCAAGTGCCAGAAAGCCTGTAATGTCTCCTGACTTTGTTAAAGGATGGTTGGGGGGTCCTGGCATAGTGTCAGTAAACATGAGATCCCATCAACATTCTACACTGTATTTCACCAACACAGAGGACCATCCATATCCATATTGTTGTCCCCCAGGAGCGTACTCCACCCAGACCCTGATCTGTAGGATTGACATGGCCAGTGAGCTCGACATCCCCACATCTCTTGGGCCACACTTTGAGGTGGACTTCACCATGCCCCAGACCACCGCCTCCAAGAGTATCGTGCGGTCCATCTCCGTGTCCAACCCGTTAGCTGCGCCGGTAATCCCTGAGAAGTGGGTGAGGTATAAGGCACACTACAGCTACAAGGTAGCAATCGAGAGGGAGGAGGATCCGGATCCATGCCCCAAGACTGGGAATTCCGACTATGATCATCCAATAAACAGCCGTCCTGAGTAAGAACCAGCTCTGTCTAGAGGAAACTTAACTATGCTTAATGTGATTGTGTGGACTTAACCAATTGTAATATGTGCTGTTGTCATGTGTACTTGTGCAGTTGATATACATAGCTGGTTGTACATATGGTGTTTGCATTGTTTTCTTTCCTCCTTTTAATGACATGTTGTGTTATATATGTAATGTTATATGATACATTCATGTGTACATTTATAATGTACATGTTCTACTAGTCCCAGTTAAGTGGGGTAAAAAACACTAAGTTCAGAGGCAATGCTGGTCTTTTCTTTCCCTTCTCCCTTTTGCTTTAACATCTTCAGCATTTATGGAACCAACACCCTTATTTTCTTCTGCATATAATAATCTTATTGGGGCTTCTTCTGTTTTTTGTTCCTGGAAGTACCAGTGGCCTTTGACAACCATGGTGTCAAAAGCTTTCTGTGGATATATGTTCCTTCGAATGTCTTGGTTTCCTGGTTGAACCTCTTATTTCAGTCTTTTGCGGTAGTAGTAGCTTCTATCAGTTCCACTACCCACCCTTAGTTCACTTTCTTCGTACCAGTGCCCCAAGACTGCTTGTATTGCTAGGTAGTTGCATTCGAAAAGTGCAGTGTATTTTGAAATTCACAGTTTGTGGGTACAAACTGCTTAGAATGTTTTTCCCCTTCCCTCTCTCCCCAAATGGTGCAGAACTGAGGACTAAGATGATTTGGTGAGTCCTGTGTCTCTTCCTATGGTTCATATAGAGTAGGTCATATAGAGTAGCCTCCAGTTTGCAATTCTGCGTCCTTTACTAGAAGAAATATTGTAATCACAGGGTTGCAGCTACAAAGCCTGGTGGTTCTGGACCCTGATTTGCTTGTTACCAGTAAGGATGCATCCTTTTGGAGGGGACATTAGCTAGCTTTTGGCCCCGTGTACATGCCACAAGCATCTCAAAGAGCCAAGTCCTGACGTGGAAAAGTGACTACATCACAAGATGTTGTTCCCTTATCTTGGTACACAGTGTGAGTGGATCAAACCTACATTCCCGGATCACACACACCGGATGACCTACTCATCAAAATGCAGAACTAACATGTTACTAGTATTATACCACAACATGGTTTACCTGTTAGATGATACAAATAAAGGTCACGTCAGTCCACTGTCGAGTCATGAGAATATTAAAAGCTTCAATGCAGCTTAAAATAAGAAATGGGGGTCTTGTCAGGAAAAGCACATATTTTTGGCAAGTCATAATGTAGGCTCCTTAAGACACCTGACAATCTTTACCTTTTTTACACTCAGGCTTTATGACCCAAAGTCAACACGGCCACCTCCTTGTGCATATAGAAGACTTAAGAATTACGAATTCCTGTGAGTGATGGAGCTGTGGTATGGTGGAAGGTGGTTGTGCTGTGCTGCGATGGTCATTACAGTCAACGTACAAACATGCAGTCCTGACCAGTAACAAACTGACCTACGCACTACTGTACATCAACGTCAGCATTCAACTGTGTTCAGGTTTGTAGCTGTGGTCAAGAAACTGTTATAGAATGCATTAAGGATAACTATGCTGGCTTTACATGTTTCATTCCATTGATATGAGATGAACAGAAACAGTGTACATTGTCAGGTGTTTGATAATCTTCTCATGCAATATGAATGTAATAATTGTAGCAATAGTCAAAGTTCCTCACAACACCACCCTAAACAGAGTACTATGACATGTTCACAGTGATTTGACTTTTGAGATAACTGTTCAGATACTGTAATTAATAATATATGTTGTGATGGAATTCATCCCCCCCAAAAAAATCATTTCCAATAAGTCAGAAGATACCAGGAATTACCTTGTCAATCATGTGGAAAAGTGACTACAAAGTTCAAATCACCACAAAAAGGGGTGTTGTGCAGTGCAGGGTGGTACCATAGATGAAGTAATGCAGCACACAAAATAAATACAGTCGTATGTATGGTGTGTCCGGAATATACTCTCAGTGTCATCAAGGTGATGTGCAATGATAACTTAATGGTGAGCAGTAGCAGTGCGTGATGTAGACATGTAGTCTGCTCAGAATGCAGATGTAGTATAGCTAGGTAGATCACTTAGTGTAAATGTTGTCATCAGCACTCAGGAGCTAGTAGGAGATTTGTAGAGTGCTGTAGGAAATTGTAGCTGCCTTAATTGTGGTTAAGTATGGAGTTAGGTGACTTTTGTGCAATAGCAACTGTTTCCCAACAGTAATGCTTTTATTTAAAAAGATAATAAATGGAAATGAATGTGTAACTTGAACAGAGGTACGTGTACCATGGCAGTAATTTTGTAGTAATTTGCCTTCCAGATGATACTGCTGTATTCTCGAAATATTCCGGAAATTTTCAGTTGCCATTTTTTAATGGTTTGGAGTCACTTTGGACATATCAAATCAGCCAGTGGGAGCTGTTTTGTTTATATATTTGCTGCATGTTGTTTTTAGTGTTCTTTTTTTTTGCTGCTAGAAGTAAACAAGATTGCATTTTTGACCATTTGTTGTCATTTGAAAAAGATATGCCATGCCAAACACTACCAAGATGTTATATCTGTTTATATTTGCATTATATAATACAATTTAAAACCTACATTCATATATTTGAGACCACTTACACTATTTCCACAGTTGATGTTTTGATAAGTAGTTTGAATATTGCATTCCTAACAGATGATGTGATCGGGAAGTGTCCAAGTACTGTAAGCTGTGTTTGCACTATTTGCAGGTATCTGCAGTTATGTTTGTTGTTGACTTCTATTACAAACTTAAAACACATTTCTCAGTCACTATGCTCCTCCATGGAAGTTTAAATTTCAGCTACCTCCATGACTGTATACATTTGTATGTGTACAGCATGCATACAATACTTGTTCAGCTTGAGCGCAATTTAGACTTATTACGGGCACCATCTCATTTTTGGACCAAAGATTCAATAATATAGTATGAATTGTGATAGGCTACAAATGAAGGGCAAGGCTTTTCATTACCATGTTTCCTCCAGTCCAGATTAATTACGTAAGGATGTAGAATACTTCATTTTTACAGTAAGAGGCTACTCATACCATGTGGACTTCATTGTCGATTTGATATTGATTATTGATGGTCCCATGTGGTCATCACAGTTAAGAAGTCACTCTGGATGTGAAAATGGCAATACATGTGGGTAATACCATGTTATTATATAAAGGTAACATAGCACTTCATAGAAGAGGCAAAACAGTAATTTACCTTGGAGAGATGTTAGCATGAAAACCATCAGTCTGTATTATTGAATGTTATCATACATGTAGCTAAACCTATCAATGCAACAGGGATTCAGATTTTCCAAACTTCTGTATATCAGTACTGCTTTTCTCAGGAATATTTTCAGACATGTCACCATTTACTGGAGTCTCATGTCCGTAGTGACATTGTAAGGGTTGTTTTTTTCCAGAGAAAGGCTGTAGTGATGTGCAAAAAAATAGCAAGTCTGAATTCTTATGTATTTGAAAAAAATTAACTTTAAGTTAAAGTAACAACAAGTGCAATTTCTCAGGACTAAATGATATTTCACAAGATAACAAATACATGCATGGCATTACAAGGGTAATGAAGGTACATTTGTTTAAGATGACTCAGATGAATACTAGTATATTTATTTATTCAAGATTTCTTTTCTTGAATTTATAGAGAAGTTCTTCTGATAGTCGAACCTTCTTTTACTACATGTTCTCATTTTTATACTTTCAGTTCTGTTTTTTTAGTATTTTCAATACAGAGGCTTACTTAGGGAGAGGCAGCACATTTCCAGTCTCACTGGCTGGTATTATTTAACCACAACTATAACAGAAAAGCCAAGAAAGCTTTTGAAGTAGTGTCTTGAATTCTCAGACAAGGTTGCTAAAGGATTTTTTGTGATGTGAAGTTGTGTCAAAGTGATGTTATGGTATTGTGATAATTTATTTGTCCTATTCATGATTTATTTAAGGAAAAATGAAATAACTGATTATCACAGATGTACTGGTAATATTGTATATCAGAAAGGGTTTTGGTTTTGTACATGTTTATGAAGTCACCATAGGTGCAATGTATAAGTAAAATAGAAGTGTGTACATAGAAGTCTGTATAGATGGCACACAGTGTGTGTAAGGTAATAATTGTAGCTAATTATGCAGCAGTAGTCAGAATAAAGAGAATTTTAGATGAGACTTTGTCTTGTCTTGTTTATATTCTTCTTCTTGTACATCTGATACAATTGCTTTTCATCTAATTTATAACTTGGTAAGAACTAAGATAAACTCGGACAAGAATTAATGATTTAGTGACTGACTGCTGTCCTTTACCTAACTTGCATGCCCATGGAAACGGTTCCATTCCCCAGGACAGGAAGTGGTGAGTCGTGGCCTAGTGTTTGTTATACATGTACATGTACTTGCCAACAAGAGATATTTTCCCCATTAACCCATTCTTATGACCAGCGGGACAATAATTTTCATAAACTGAAATAACATGGCATTTCCAAGGAAAGGTAGGAAATGATAATCACAAATTCATCAAGTATGTCTGCAAATATCACTGGTTGGTTACTTAAATTTGGAAAGACACTGGAAATTTGGAATCATCAAGAAACTTTCAAAGTTTCGAGATTACACGTCACAGACAATGCAGTGAGAAAGGTTAGTAATTTGAGAGCATATATCCAGTATGAAGCTAAATGTCAACATGATACATGGCATCATTAAATTTTTCCATAGAATTTAATAGTATAGGAATCTAAATCTTACACATCAGTGACCAGTGTGTGATTTAATAATTGACAAGAATAACATTTAAATTGTCTTTCCAAGTTCAGAAGTGGAGAGTGGAAGGTGTTATTTCCCATACTATACTTATACTAGACACAAATGGCCACAAATACTGTTGAGTCTTGGGGGAAATGGGGCTGCGAGAAAACTATACGATTTCCCCAACATCTGCTTGAAGATTACAACGAGTTGATACGCGTTCCTACCTTCTTGCCGCAATGGTTCATTCCTAGACAATTGGGCAATTACGCGGACCCCTCTAGTCCATATTGGAGGGTATTGACGAGTATATAAGCGCAGTACTGCAGAGCAGCATCGGCTTCCAACAAGCCCACATCGCAGGGAGGGAACGGGGCAGTCAAACTGAAATCCTGCCCGAATAGGTCATTATGACCACGTCTTCTGCAGTGGTAAGGAAAGCAGCATGTTTTGTGTCCGTGGTTTTAGTGTTGAATGGTCAAAATTATAAGGGGACGCTGCACGTAGGCCGCGCCATTTGTAGCCATTTTGGCTGGTTGGAAATGTAAGGAGAGCGCAGGGGAGAGCGCGATGACATCTGCGCAACTTGCTTTGTCCTTCAGGCAAAGACATAAAAGGCCTCGATCTGCGACTTTGTGAGAACAATCTTATTTCAATCCCTGGTAAACAAATGTTACAAATGTGTTACTATAATTACTATAATTTGTATTTGGCAAAGGACGTGTTTTGTCTTTGTGTACCGAACAGAAAGCACAGCGTCTGCTCTTACTGTTTTCCATAAACTTGATAAAGTTGTCACCATTTTGCTTGGTTCTCTGTACCGGAAAAAGAAAAAAAATTATGAAGCAACAATAAAAACATTTCATCACAGGAAAACAAGGAATATTTTTTTATTTACTCGATGTAAAAAAATAACGTGAACAAATATGTTTGGATTTGTGTGGCCGCGTGAAGCCGTCAAGAAGGTCGCAGCTGCCACGGCACCTTGAACCAACTATAACCTGAGTTGCCATATAAAACAGTAAAAACGCATGAATAATGTTGACTTCCACGACTTTCAGTCCAAGTTGTACAGGAGTGTTATCGACGATGTCATCAACAACGTAAGAGAAGCCTTCCTCGACGAACAAGTCGACGAGCAAGTCTGCAGAACTCAAGCAGGTATGTGACAGCAACC